GTCGAGATACAGTCCCTGCACCACTGGACAAGCCAGCATGATGGTGCAGGTGCTAGAAACATAGAGAAGGAACTTCAGAGGTACGAAACATTCTGTGGCATCCCAGCACCTGCGAGGACATGCTGAAGCAGGTCCACATTATGCAGAGAACCCAACTCCAGCATGCCCCACCCATCACCCCCAAATCTGTCCTGAAACAGGTTTTAGCATGCATGTCAGAGGGAGCAGACATTGGTGTGGCTTTTGGGAGCAGCAATCTGACAGACTTGAATGAAACCAAAAATCTGCACACCTTTCTACCCAGTATTTTCACATCTAGAAAATTTTTCTAAGAATTACTAATGAAAGCAAGCAAAGATATGTGTAAGACGATTCATTGTGGCTTGGAGTATAATAGCAAAGGTCACACATAATGTGCACACATACATTTTAGTTACTCTGCGGCAAGAGACTGCAGTAAAAAGACTCCACTTGTTTCCATCATCTACTTCTGTCCGGTTTGAATCTATTATAAATACGTACTACTTTCATAATTCAAAAGAAGGAAAAATTAAAAGGACAAATAAACCCTCTCTGATCTGAATATATGTTCAAACTGTGGCAATGCAAATGACTTTATTATTTTTGTTTATATTATTGAAACTTTTACATTGAACGGGTATTGTTTTTATAGATATTAAACCTGGTTTAAAAATAATTCCTTCTCTGGATTCTTACTGCCTTCAATATAAAGAAAATATCTCATCTACAGAGCAGAGACAGCAAATTGTCCCAAACGCCCCATTCTTCCCTTCTTCTATAGCGGTAGAACCCCTGACTTCAAGCAAGGTACATTTCTCAGAATACAAACTACATTTCCCAGCTTCCCTAGCGCAGCCAGGTAAGAAAGACCATGTGACTAAGTTCTGGCCAATAGAGGGAGACCTCAGGTTGCTATATCACAGCTTCTGGGTCATTCATGCCTTTAAAGACCAGGGCATGCATTCACAACAGAAGAAATGCAAATTAAAACTGTACTGGGGTATATTTCTCACCTATCAGACTGGCAAAAACCAAAAGCTTCAAGTACACTATTGGGGAAATCGTGTAGAAACAGATACTCTCATACATTACTGGTGGGAATGTGAAATTACACAGTCCCTATAAGCCAGTCAGGCGCCCCAGAATAACACTGAAAATCTACAGGATTTTCATGCCTTTTCCTGCCCTATTCCCCTTTAGCCATCACAGGCTCTTCCTGAATAAATCTCTTGCACATTCTATCCTATTTTGGTATCTGCTTCTTGGAGGAACCAAGCTGACAACACAACTTAGGAGTTTTGTGTTTGTGATGGTATCAACATAGCAATTCTGAAGCAATTGTGTGTGTATTATAGGACTGACCAAATGAGTAAATATACTGATGTAGCTGGGGATCAAGGTTCTAGTGGCAGAAAAAGGAAAAAAACAAATATGGAATGAGGGAAGCAAGGAAGAATGCTGTTGTGTTGAAGAGGATTAGAAGGTCAATATAACCTCATGAATTATATGTTTGTGTGTGAGCATGTGTGTGTGTGTGAGCATGCAGCATTTATAGGAAATGAACGTAGGAGAGAAATATAAATAAATACCATGTGTGCATGTATATGCCGTGTGATTATCTATACATCGTCTACCTCTGTCCACAGAGAGGGACAAAGAGCACTGATGTTGGTTTCTAAATTCTGTTAAAAGGAATTAGTAAAAACATATCTACACAGAGACATGTATGCAAATATTCATAGCTGCATAATTCATAGTGGCCAAAACCCCAAACATTTCATCCAAATATCCATCAACTAGTGAATTAATTTTTTAAATGTAGTATATCCGTCCAATAGAATACTATCCAGTAATAAAAAGGAAGGAACTACTGATACTTTCTACAACATGAAGAATCTCAAAAACGTTATGCTGAGTGAAAAAAGCCTGCCACAAGAGCCTATGCGTTGTACAATTCCATGCAGGAATAGTCCAGAAAAGGCCAATCTAAAGAGACAGGAATCCGTGCTACCTAGGACCAGGGGTTGGTGTGGGGCTTCAAGTGCAGACAGTCAAGAGAGAAATTTCCAAGTGATGGACTGTGGTGAGGTTGCACAATTCTCCAAATTGGAAGAACTGTCCCCTCTCCCTTTTGGAGCCTCACGGCCCAGGGCTTCCCTTCAGACACCCTAAATTCCACTTGATGAATTGCAAAGGATCCTCAGCCGCTACCTGGGACAGCATTACTTATTCTCCATGGTCCAGAATGGATGTCCCCTCCTCTGCCAGACCAGGATCAACCCCTTCCTTCTACGCACTCTCGTTAAACACTCCACACAACTCTGAGAACCCTCTTCACTCTAACTCTTCCAGGTAAGTCTGTGCATGGCTGTCCTTCACCACTGGACATGGAGCTTCCTAAAGGCAGGGACCAGGGTATCATCTTCTACAGCACCTATCAAAGGGGCAGGCACATCAGGAACATTTGCCAAATGGACGAGTAAATGAATGAATGAACAAAGCTATGAAGAACAAGTGAGACAGAAGTGAAGAGAAAAGGTATGGGCTGTCTAAAGCGACGGATGAACCAATCGTTAAGAAAGCAATGAAAACACAACTACCAACCCCAGCCCAAGTCCTGGGTAGTCCTGGTATTAAATAATGAGCTTGAAGTGGGATTCTGGGAAGACAGGAAAGTAGGAAGCACCAGGAATCTCTTTCCCCACCTAGACAGGTGCACTATTTTGGAACTCTGGAGTCTGTTGAAGAGATGAAAGGCATCCACATTGGAAAGGAAGAAGGAAAATTATGTTTTCAGATGACATGACTTTATATGTAGAAAACCCTAAAGATTCCCCCAGAGAACTTATTGGAACTAATAAATGAATTCAGCGAAGTAGAAGGATATCAAGTCAACACACAGAAGCAGCTGCATTTCTGTACACAAACAACACACAACCTGAAAAGGAAATTACAAAAATAATCCCACTTATGGTAGCATCCAAAAGAATAAAATACTTAGGAATTAACCTAACCAAGGAGGTAAAAGATTTGTACAATGAAATCTATGAAACATTTCTGAAAGAAGTAAAAGAAGGCAGAAATAAATGGAAACACATCCCCCATTCATGGATCAGAAGACTTAATATTCTTAAAATGTACATACTACTGAAAGCAATCTACAGATTTTAATCCCATATGTGTCTAAATCTTAAGGGTGTCTTTTGCCAAAAAACATGTCCTAAAATTCATAGGAAATCTCAAGGGACCCCAAAGAGCCAAAACAATCTTGAAAAAGAAGAACAAACCTGGATGACACAGACTTACTGATTTCAAAACTCATCACAAAGCTACACTAACCAAAACCGTGTAAAACTGGCATAAAGACAGACATATGGAACAATGGAATAGAAGCAGTGATCAAGATGGTCAAGTGATTTTTGACAGGAGTGCCAAGACTATTCAATGAGGGGGAAAGGACAGTATTTTCAACAAATGGTGCTGGGAAAACTGGGTGTCCACATGCAAAAGAAAGAAGCTGGACCCTTACCTAATACCACATACAAAAATTAATTTGAAATGGATCAAGGGCCTAAACATAAGACCCCCCAAAATAAAGTGCTTAGAAGAAACAGAACAAAAGCATCACAACTTTGCATTTGGCAATGATTTTTTGGACATGATATCAAAGGCACAGGTAACAAAAGAAGAAATTGGCAGATCAGACTTCATAAAAATTTTTAAATTTTGTACATCAAGACACACCACCCCTGGAATAAAAAAACAACCATAGAATGGGAGATGATATATACAAATCATATATCCGATAAGGAATTTATATCCAGAATATATAAGTCCTAAAACTCAACAACAATAACAACAAACAATCCAGTTTAAAACTGGGCAAAGAAATTGAATAGACATTTCTCCAAAGAAGATATATGAATGACCAATAAGCACATGAAAAGATGCTCAACATCACTAATCATTAGGGAAATGCAAATCAAAACTACAATGAGATACTAACCTCAGCCTTAAAATAGCTACCAAAAAAAAAAAAAAAAAGTATTGCTAAGGATGTGGAAAAACTGGAACCCTTATACACGGTCGGTGAGAATGTAAAATGGTGCAGCCACTGTGGAAAACAGTATGGCAGTTCCTCAGTTAAAAACAGAATTACCATGAGATCTAGCAATTCTAGTTCTGGGTGTATACCAAGAAGAATTGAAAGCAGGGTCTTAAAGAGATACTCATACATCCATGTTTATAGCATCCTTTTTCACAATAGCTAAAAGTTGGAAGCAACCTGAGTGTCCAATGACAGATGAATGGATAAGCAAAATGTGATATATACATGTAATGGACTATTAGTCAGCCTTAAAAAGGAAACAGATTCTGTAATATGCTACAATAGGGATAAACTTCGAGGACATTATGCCAAGTGAAATAAGCCAGTCACAAAAAAGACAAATACTATAAAATTCTACTTATATGAGGTACTTAGAACAGATAAATTCATAAAAACAGAAATTGTAGTGGTGGTTGCCAGGGGTAGACAGAAGGGAAAATGGACAGTTATTGTTATTGGGTACAGTCTCAGTTTTACAAGATGGAAAACGTTATGGGGATGGATGGGAGTAATGGTTGTACAACAATGTGAATCTATTTAATACCACCGAACAGTACACCTAAAAATGGTTAAGACGTAGGGGCGCCTGGGTGGCTCAGTCAGTTAAGTGTCCAACTCGTGATTCTGGCTCAGGTCATGATCTCAGGGTCATGAGATCAAGCCCACCATTGGGTTCTATACCAGGTGTGGAGCCTGCTTAAGATTCTCACTCTCTCCCCCCCGCTCTGCCGCTCCCCATCCCACTCTCTCCCAAAAAAAAAAAAAGGTTAAGGTAAATTTTATGTTTTGTGTATTTTACTACAATTTTTAAAACCCTACAAAATAGTAACTATGTGAAGGACAATGGTGACAAAAATGACCCTTCTCTTACCTTCATCAAGCAGCCAGCAAACACAAGGAAGCCTTTTGAATGCAGATGCTTGGCCAAGGAGAACCCAAATCCCGAGTCACAGCCTGTGACCAGGACGGCTTTGCTGCCAACCTGTTTCAGAAGATCAGACCCCACATTAGGAACCCAGGATCCCAAGAGCTTAGTGACCAAGCAAACCTCCTCTGGACAGTGACAATTAGTGCTTCCTGAGTGGGCCAGTCCCAGTCCTGCCCACCTGCCCTTGGCTCTTAGAGAAGCACCATAATAGAGCAGAGAATGCTTGGCACTCCAAATCAGGAGATGAGGTTCTAACCCAAATTCTGCCACCAACTGGCAATGCTACCTGGGGAAGTCACTGCCCCCTTCTGGACCTCAGTTTCCTCATCTACAACCCCCAGCATCACCACCCCCCATCACCACAGTATTTATCATTTCTTACTCTGTGCAAGGCACTCCACACACATTTTTCTTATTTAATACCCCACAGTAACTCTACACAGTAAGTAGCATTATTACACCAGGTTACAAGTGAGGAGACATATTTTCTAAATGCCCAAAGTAGTCAGCCCGTGGTAGAACTGGAAGAGAGAGAATCCAAATCTGAACTCTTAAGCCCTAACTTCATCTTTGGCAGGAGTGGGGCAGTTGAGAGAGTAAGAAAGTGGTTCCAAGCATCCCAGGGGCACTGAAGCCCCGCTCTGAAGTGGCCCAGGGCTGGGAGCCCCTAGGGAAGGGCTGTGACCACCATAGCGGGGCTGCCACTCACCGGCTTCACCTCATCGGAATAAGCACGACGGCTGCTAGGGACCAGGGAGGCGGAGTAAAACAGCAGCGAGCGCCTGCGGGAGAAGAGGAGCTGTGAGCAAAGGCTGTGCTCCTACCTGCACCTCACTCCCGGGGCAAACAACTCAGAGGACCCTCAACCACCAGTATGGCCCCCATGGCTCCCGACCCCAAGCCGCTGAGGACAATCTGCTGGTACTACTGGGGAAGATGGTCCTAACTCTGTCCGCCAGGCTTGCTAGGCTGCAACAAAGTCAGCCTGCAGGTGCAGTGGCCATTTTTGCCACGTGTAGGAATCACCCTCCGGCAATACAGCCTTGTTACCAGAGCCTTCTGCAAATTCAATGTCTTCACCTCTGGGTTTTACGCTGCTTCCTGATAGTTTTTTTTCTTTCCCTTTTTTTTTTTTTTAAGATTTTATTTATTTATTTATTTGACAGACAGAGATCACAAGTAGGCAGAGAGGGAAGCAGAGAGAAGGGGGGAAAGCAGAGAGCCCGATGCGGGGCTCGATTCCAGGACCCTGAGATCATGACCTGAGCTGAAAGCAGAGGCTTTAACCCACTGAGCCACCCAGATGTCCCTCCCTTTTTTTTTTTTTTTTAGATTTTATTCATTGGAGAAAGAGAGAAAACATGAGTGGGGGGAAGGGCAGAGGGAGGGGGGAAGCTGGTCCCCCGCTGACCAGGGAGCCCAGTGCAGGGCTCGATCCCAGGACCCTGAGATCATGACCTTAGCCGAAGGCAGAGGCTTTAACGCACTGAGCCCCCCAGGTGCCCCCTGTTAGTTTTTTTCAACTAAACTTTTGTTTTGAAATAATTATAGATTCAAATGCAGTTAAGAAATAACACAGAAAGACGCCCTGTAACTTATTACCCAATTTCCCCCAGTGGTAACATTTTGCAAACCTATAGCACCCTATCACAATCAGGATATTGGAACAGATACAGTGAAAATACAGCACATTTCTGTCACCACAAGGATCCCTCCTGTTACCCTTTTAGAGCCACACCCATTCCTGTCCACTCCACGTCCTCCTTAACTACTAATCTGTTGTCCATCTCTACCATTCTGTCCTTTCAACAATGTTATATAAATGGAGTCACACAGTATATAACCTTTTGGGATTGTCTTTTCACTCAACATAATTTTCTGGAGATTTAACCAGATTGTTGCACATATCAATAATTTGTTTTTTTATTGCTAAATTGTTTTCGATGGTATGGGTATACCACAGTTTTTTTAATGATCAACTATCTTTGTTGGCTCATTTTTGTTTTTAGGTAGGTTCCATGCCCAATGTGGGGCTCGCGCTCCACTCTGAGATTGAGTCGCAAACTCTACCAACTGAGCCCGTCAGGCACCCCTAACCATTCAACTATTCAAGAGCATCCATGCTGTTTCCGGTTTAGGGTTATTATAAGTAGAGCTGCTATGAACATTCCTGTGTAAGTTCTTGTACAAGTCTGCTCTCTTAAGTAAGTACCCAGGAGAACCATTGCTGGGTCATATGGCAGATGCGTAGTTAGTTTTTAAGAAAATGTCAAACTGCTTTCCAGAGCGGTGAGCATTCTACATTCCCAGCCCCAAGGGATCCACTTTCTATCTTCACCAGCATTTGGTGGTGTCACAATTTTTTTTATTTTAGTCATGTTGATTACGGTGGCTTCAATGTGCATTTCTCAAATGGCTAATGACATTGAACTTTTTTTTAAGATTTTATTTATTTATTTGACAGACAGAAATCACAAGCAAGCACGGGCGGGGAGGTGGGAGTGGGGAAGCAGGCTCTCCACTGAGCAGAGAGCCCAATGCAGGGCTCTATCCCAGGACTCTGAGATCATGACCTGAGCCGAAGGCGGAGGCTTAACCCACTGAGCCACCCAGGCGCCCCGACATTGAACATCTTTGCCTGTGCTTATTTGCCATCCGTATACCCTCTTTGGTAAAATGTCTCTTCGTGTCTTTTGTCCATATTCTTCTTTAAAAAAAAAAAAAAAGAAAGAAAAGAAAAGAAAAGATTTTATCTTCAAATAATCTCCATACCCAGTGTGGGGCTTGATCTTAAAACCCTGAGATCAAGAGACGAAACCTCTACTGTCTGAGCCAACCAGGTGCCCCTCTTTGATCCATATTCGAATTATACTGTATTGTTCTTTCACTATTGAGCTCTGAGAGTTCTTTACAGGTTTTAGAGGCTAGTCCTCTGTTACATATGCAGGATGCAAATACTTCCTCCTATTGGGCAAGCTGTCTTTTCTTCCTCTCACAGGGTCTTTTGCAGAGGGAACCTGTTTCATTTGGATGAAGTCTGATTTAGCGATGTTTCCTTTTATGGGTCACGCTTTTGGTGTCAAGTTTCAGAATTCTTTGCTTATCCCAGAACCCGAGATTTTCTCTTGATTTTTTTCTAAAAGTCTGATAGATTTGTGTTTGACATTTTAGGTCCATGATCCATTTTGAGTTTTGTATACAATGTAAGACATAGGTCAAAGTTTATTTTTTTGCTTATAAATGTCCAACTGCTCCAGAACGTTTTTGTTTTGGTTTGGTTTTTTTTGGAAATGTACACTTTTCTGCCTTGAATTGCTTTTGCGCCTTTATCAAACATCAGTTGGGGATATTTGTGCGGGTCTGTTTCTGGATTCTCTCTTAGATTTCGTTGAGCTATCTGCTCCCATCTTATTTTTCTTTTTCAAAATTGTTTTTTCTATTTTATTTCCCTTGTTTAGTCCTATAAATTTTCAAACAATCTTGTCCTTATCCACAAAAATCTGACTGTGATTTTGATAGAGATTGTGCTAAACTCATATATCAATTTGGGTGAAACTGATATTTTTACTTTTTCAAGTTCTTCAATCCCTGAACTTAGTATGGGTCTCCATTTATTTAGACCATTGATTTCTTTCATCAGCACGGTACAGTTTCCTGCAATACAAATCCTGTGCATGCTTACTGTATTTATACCTCTGTATCTCATTTTTTTGAGCATTTTAAATGGTTTTTTTTTTAAGATTTTATTCATTCATTTGTCAGAGTGAGCACAGGAAGACAGAGTGGCAGGCAGAGGCAGATGGAGAAGCAGGCTCCCGCTGAGCAAGGAGCCTGATGTGGGACTCGATCCCAGGACGCTGGGATCATGACCTGAGCCGAAGGCAGCGGCTTAACCAACTGAGCCACCCAGGCGTCCCTAATTGGTATTGTTTTAAATTTTGACATCCTCAAGTTCATTGTCAGGCTATAAAAATACATTGTTTTTGTGTGTTATCTCAATTCCTGGAACAAACCCATTTTTCACAGTTTCTATTTTTATGTATTGCTGAATTCTACTTGCTAATATTTTTAAGATTTTCACATCTCTATTCATGAGGAATATTAGTGCGTGGGTCTCTTTTTTTGTGCAGTCTTTGTCTGGCTAGGGAATCAGGGTAGAACTACTTTCATAAACTAAACTGGGAAGGGTTAGTGCTGGGTAGGGATGGAGTCCCCTACAAGGTCTCCACTCCTACTGCCTGGCTGGGAGGGGCTGGAGGGTCTCACTACTGCTCCCAACATGCATGGGAGCATGGGGTCTCATTACTGCTGGGAGACTGGTGAAGTCCTGACTCTCCCGGACTCCCACCCAAGCAGGCAGGGTGCCTGATTACTGCTGGGTGGGAACAAAAGACTTGGCCCCTCCTTGGCGTTCTCGGATACTACCTCTACTGAAGGGACTGGGGTACCCCACTACAGCCGGGGTGAACTGGAGGTTGAGGCTCAGTACAGCTTTTGCAGGTGCAGGAAGGGGTGGAGCCTCAGCACTTCCTGTGGTGTTTGGCTGGAGTAGAGCAATTACTGTCTCCAGTTTTCTGTCTTGCTAGGCCAGTCTTTGGGCTAGAGAGAGCAGACTCCTACTGGGGTTTTTTTGTCCTGAGCTGTCATTTCTGTGCTGCCAGCCACTTCAGCAACAGGTGTGGGGTAGATGAAGGGCAAAGAAAATCTAAAGAGCTCATCACTGTGTTGTTTCTTGGGCCCTGAGGTCCCTAGCTGATCCATCTTCTTCTCCCCATCTTCTAGAGTCTTGTTATGCCTTTTTATATAACCTGGGGGCTTTAGTTGTATCCAATGGGAGGAAAAGAGAAAAATACATCTACTCCATCTTTCCAGAAGGAGAAGTACTGTTCAGTTTTTTTAAGCTATTTTTTAAAATTTTATTTATTTATTTGAGAGGAGAGAGAGAGAGCAAGAGAGGAGGAAGGGGCAGAGAGAGAGAGAGAAACAGACACCCAGCTGAGCAGGAAGCCTGACATGGGGCTTAATCCTAGGACCTGAGATCATGACCTGAGCCCAAGGCAGACGCTTAACTAAGTGAGCCGCCCAGGTGCTCCAAAGTACGGTTAATTTTTAAATGAATACTAAACCAGAAACAGTAAACAGAGGTGGCAGGGTCACCTGAGCAGCTGGTGAACAGGGGAGAGGAGGTAGGAGATAAATTTGCTTTTTACCATGTACTATTTTGTACTATGTGAATATATTACCTATTCAAAACACAAAGCTTTTAAAATATTCATAAAAATATGTTATCCCGGGGTGCCTGGGTGGCTCAGTCAGTTAAGCAGCTGCCTTCAGTTCAGGTCTGATCTCAGTGTCCTGAGATTGAGCCCTGTGTCAGGCTCCCTGCTCAGCAGGGGAGTCTGGTTCTCCCACTCTCTCTGCCCCTAAAAAAATACTTTTTTTTTTAATGTGTTATCCAACATTCTTAAGAACAATGGGTTCACTAGACAGAAATGAGGGTCCACTAGGAAAGTCAGCCAAAGTAAACTCCTGTCCTTTTGAATTGCCACAGCAGAATCTCTTTGGATTTTAAGTCCTGGAGCATGGTGGTCTTAAGTGTGAGCGGAATGGTATGGTTAGTACACCCAAAGGTAGTTAAATGACTTTATTCAAAGAGAATCACTGTTTTCCCCAAGACCCCAGGGGTTAATCTGCAAAAAGAACGTGTCTCTCCTGGACCAGTTCTTTCCCTGCAAGTTCCCTTTGTGCTACTTGATACTATAAAAAGTAACAGAAAGGTCACAGCAAGAGAGAGAATTTATTTCAAACTGACTTGCTGCCAGATTTTTTCTAATCTACCTCCCCATTCTCAAATACTTTTCAGGCCCAAACTTCACTCTCTTTGGGTGTCTTACAGTAAGCTCTACAGCTCAAACCCAGCTGTCAGTGGAGATTTCCTCCGCTCCAGAGAACACAACGCTCCACCCCTCCACACCCACCGCTAAGAGGCAGAACCCTGACAAGGTGAGTGAATGGAGCCAATGTGAGCATGGGGAAGCTCCCACAACATCAGAGTATCCTGCTGGGGACGGCCTGGCCTCCCAGCCTTTGCCTCATGGCCGTTGCAGATGCGGCAGGATCCCCAGCTTGGGATTGCTTCTCAGTCTGGAGGGTCCCTGGGCCTGGGAAGGCCTCACTACCTCCATTCTCAAACTTCAGTTGACAGGCATCTGGGAAGCATGTTAAAATGCAGACTCCCAGGTCCCTCCCATTGACACTCTGATTCAGCACGAAGAGGTGGCAGCAAACTGCGGGTCAACCCACCTCTTACTCCAGCCGCCATGCTTGTCTTGCAGGTGGTACAAGTTCAGCTCAGGACAGTCAGTTTTCTGCGGGGTGGAACCCCAAAGAGGCAGCAGCCACATTCAGAGAAGACCTCACCAACTGCTGTCCTAACCTACAAGTGCAATCAGATGGGGCAGAGAAGGTACAACCTGGCACTTCCCCCAAGGGCCTGTGGAAGAACCTCCTGGTCCCCAGAGCATCCAGGAACTTGCCAGGCCACATCTGAGACACCACCCCATGCTGGCCAGGGCATCAATTCTGGCTTCTTCTCCATCTTGTGTCTCTTCCATCATGAATCAGCCGCAATAACCCAGCTTTCTGCAGCGAGGAGTCATGATTAAGTAATTGGACAGGCTGACTATACCAAGATGATGGTGTCTAGGAGGGACAAATGTCAGTGACAGAGTGCAGCCTGGGAGAAATATGGCCTCATGCGGCAGCATATGCAAAAACAATACAGTCCAGTCAACCACGAATCATAAGGGATGTGGCTGCCAACGGAATCTACAGGAGTCAAGGCTGGAAGGGATAAAGGAGCCCTTCTCCACTCTGCCCAGATCAGGCTCTCCTGGAGTATTGCGTGTCAGGCCCAAGCAGGCGGAGCTGAGCACTGGCCCAGCTGGTTTGTGTAACCAGGATCCCGGAGGTGGGAAATGATCAATAACTTACTTCTCCGGGGCCAGCACCAGAGCCTTCCACCGAAGCCAGAAACTCAAAATCCGAGGGCTATGCAGAGCCAGTAAGTAGGGCAGGCTGTCAGGTCAGAGTCCTTCAAGAGAGCTGGGCTCCATTCCCCCTTCCAGGGGATGCGGCCCCTGTGGGAGAGGCCATTTCATTCTCCTCTTCTATGATGTCCTCTGCTAGTTGAAGCCCGTTTCCAACCAAGCCTCTGTAGCCCATGGAAATGCTTTTAAGCAAATGGTCCTAAAAGCCTAAATGCATGTTCTTCCAGACAGACTTATTTATTGGCAGAGAAAATATCCATTGATTTTCTAGCTGCTGAGACTTTACATTTCACCTGACCCTTAATTTCACTCCTCTCAAATACAAAAGAATAGAAAGCATATTGTTTTTTCCTTGCTCTGGCTGCAAAAGAAGAAAATGGGGTAATAGAGGACTCTGAATCCCCTTGGAAAAGGCAATTCCAGAAGTTCTCAAAGAAGAGCTACTTATTTAATTTGTACTTAATGCTTTCTCTAAATCACTCAAACCATTCCGGGAAACCTTGGGACATTTTCATTAACTGGTTTCATGTGTAAGATTTAAATACAGCAATTATCCAAATGATAAAAGAATTGAGACACATCAACATTCTGTGCCTTCTGGGGCACCTGGGTGGCTCAATCAGTTAAGCATCCGCCTTTGGCTCAGGTCATGATCCTGGGATCGAGTCCTCCATCAGGCTCCTGGCTCATTGGGGAGTCTGCTTCTCCCTCTCCCTCTGCCTGCCACTCCCGTTGCGTGTACTCTCTCTCTCTCTCTCTGTCAAATAAATAAAATCTTAAAAAAAAACCTCTATGCCTCCTGATGCAATGTTCCTTCCAAGTGGGGCGTCACCTCACTTAAGGGGGGGGTCCTTCCAAACACACACATATGAATGTACACACAAAGAAACACCACACAACCCTAACTGACATTCTTCCAAAGTGGCAAGGTCATGAACAACCAAGACTGAAGAACCATTCCCAGTAGGAAGACTTTGAGGACCCACGACAACTAAAGGTACTGTGGGAGCCTGGTTTGTACCCGGGACCAGAAAAGGTCCATTAGTAGGCCACTTGGTGAAATCTGCATCAGCAGATTAGTTCACCGGTATTAATGCAGCAGTCACTTCCTGGTTTACATGGTCACACTACGGTTTGCGAGAGGTCAACATACGGGGAAGTGAGGTGAAGGAGATACAGGAACTCTCTGTACTCCTTCTGCAACTTTCACATAAGGGCAATTATTTCAAAAGAAAAAGCTGAAAAACACAAAGCAGGGATGAAAGATCTTCTTCTGTGCCCTGTGAAGGTCTTTGTCTTCTGAGGACACCTTTGTTTCCTCTGCTGGTGACAGCAGGAACGGACAGACATCTTTGGAGAGTCAGGCCTTCTTACCTCCTGCAGCATCCATGTGTGACAAACTCTGTTTTGCTCACAAACTGTGACCCTCAAGGGCACCTCCAGCCTTTCGCTTCTTACCTTGTTCCATTTTCTCTGTCATAGCAACTCAGGGTTCTCCCTGGCAGCTGTGACAGGGGTCTGAAGAGGCGGATGGACAGCATGGTGGCCACAAGAGGTAGAACAGTGGATCTCCTTCTGGTGGGTTCTGAAACACAAAATGCACCCTCAGCATTGCCTTGTTGCCTCCATGGGCATACCCTTCGGGACTGAGGCAGGGTCCTCCCGCACATCTCTCATGAAGCTGCTGCTTCCTATGATGGAAAAAGTCAGGAACTGCGTTCTAGTTCTGGCTGTGCCACCACCTCCTTGGGCAACCATGGGCGGGCTGTCACCCACCTGTAACGTGAGAAGGTGGGACCGGACAGGTGATCTGACAACCAAGTGAAGTATCAACCAAAGGGGACACTTGAGGACCCACCCCATGGGTCATGGAGCCTCACGGAGCCCCATTCTCATCTGTGTTCCCCATAACCAGCAGATCATCAGTCTGTGGTGACCCCGGGCATCAGCCTGCACGCTGTTTGGCCACAGGCCTCCAAGTGCAGCTCTTCCAGCCCCGCACAAATCACTGGGCTCCACCCAGCTCCTTTCTCCCCCAGCCCACCACACACAGGGTCGGGCTCTGACGCTCAACTCAGCAGTAGCTCTGGAGCCTGGAGACTGGAGCTAGAAGGTAAGACACACTTCCATCAACCTTAATTAAAACACACACACACTGAGTCTCACACCTGCCCCACCCTCTTCTGAAGTCACATCAACCTTATTGCAACAAGGCCATGTACCACAGGGTGTCACCTTAAGTTACCTTAAGGCTACTCAGCACCAGGACTAGCTGTCCACAATTAACTTAGTGGCCCTCCAGGCTGGAGGGCTGGGGGGGGGCGGGTACCAGGAGGGAGCTGAGCAAGGCAACCACAACCAGAGGAGCTGCTGGTCTTTTCCTGGTGAACCATCCTAGCCTCTCGTTTGCACATCTGCCTGTGGTTTGTTACAACATTGTTATTGGGAACAGGGCTGTGCCTGGGAGGCAGCTCCTCCAGGCCCTCGTGCTGCCACCTGAACCCAACTAATGACCAGCCACCAGGGCCACTTGGTCAAGAACTCAATTCGTTATCTAGCCAACCACCGCACAGTTCACTGTGGGCAGCAGGTGGAGGTGTCTGATCTGTTCAAACCTCAAGAAAGGGAAACAAATAGGGATCGCTTGGACTGTGTAATCCTTCCTGGACTACAGGGCAGGTTCTTACTTCCACTCCTGTCCCTCCTCACCACAGCATTCTCAGCACTGTACTCAGAAAGATCTTTATAGATCCATCAAGTGGGGGCCTGGGTGGCTTGGTCGGTTAAATGTCGGCTCAGGTCATGATCCCAGGGTCCTCGGATTGAGCCTCCCAACAGGCTCCCTGCTCCGTTGGGAGTCTGCTTCTCCCTTCCCCTACTCATGCTCTCTGCCTCTCTCTCAGATAAACAAAATCTTTAAAAAATATACCTATAATATATGTAAAATATATATAAATATATTTATATCATATCATATATTATAATATGTGTGTGTACATATATACATATATATACATACATGTATATATATAAAATATCAGTCAACTTATGTGACTTCTTTGCCTAAAAGCCTCTTCTCCATGCCTGCTGGGCACAGGCCTCTGCCTCCCTTCCCAGCCTCCTCTGGTACCACGCTACCCTGGGCCATGCTGACCTTCTGAAAGCTTCTGGTATGTGTCCCAGATCCCCCAGGCAGCACACAGAGCCTGCTCTCTGTAAGATCATTCTTCAATCCCAAACCACCATGTTTCTTTACTTTATCCTCCCCTTCTGGATCGTAAGCTCGGAGGGGACAGGAGCCTTGTCCACATCCCTCATGCCGGGAAAAAGCCTAACACGAAGGAGGCGTTCAGTGAGAGTGGGGATGAGCTGTGTGTAGAAAGGTGGCCTGCAGCCAAAACTAGAGTTACCACAGCGAGCATTTGGCAGGCAACAGCAACACAGAGCCCAAACCAGCCCTTCAGAGAAGGCACAAGGCCACGGGGCACAGAGGCTCCAAGGTGTGCCCCTCCCCCACCCCTGCAGCTGAGTGGGCCTAGCTCAGGCACCTCAGCCTCTCTCCTCAGGACTGGAGTCTGAGCTCACTGCCACTGGGGCACTCCAAATCCAGCAGTCTATAATTAAAGCCCTTCATCCCTTCTGCTCAGTGCCTTGGCAGAGACGACTTCAGTATTATCTCCACACAGAGGGCTGTTTTCAATTTTATTTTCCCTCAAGTCAGCACTATGGGAAAGTGCTCGAGTAAGAATAGCTTAAAATACATGAAAACTCGGCCCTTTGAATAATGCGCTGTTGGTGACATTTTCTCTGACACACAGAACAGTAGGATTTTAGATCTCTTCTTCCTTTTTAAGTTTCTAAAACATGTTGCTTTCCCCACGGCAAACACAGTGCTACAGGCCATGGGATTCCCAAGCAGGCTTTGGGGATGTTTGCCATCTTAATGCCTGGTGCTGGGCTTTCTTCTCTGTAAATATGAAGTTCTCAAACTTGAAAAGCCCTCACTTGCCTTTCGGTTTGGAAACAGAGGTGGCTGGGAGAGGTGCTCATGGCAAGAAGGCAGAACACCTTTGGGGGTGGTAGGTGGGGGACAGTCTCCTGGGCCTTGAACCCAGTCAGCAGCCCTAAGGAAACTTGGCACAGAGGACGTGACTGCCAGGGACCAAACTTTCATGAAATCAAGATGCTTACATGCCATTCTGGAATCTGGGAGGAAATTTTCTTTTCCTCTCTTTTCTTTTCTTTTTAAAGATTCTATTTTTTTATTTGAGAGAGAGAGAGAGAGCACAAGCAGAGGGAAGGGCAGAGGGAGAGGGAGAAGCAGACTCTCCACTTAACCGGATGAGCCACAAGGCATCCCAAGGGAGAAACTTTTCTGATACTAAGAGCACCTGAGTCTACTCTCCAGGGCACCCTCTTTCCATTTTCAATGTGGCACCCACGCATAACCTGTGGTATGTACCTTCTCTCCAAAAAAATAGTGTGTGCATCCTCGCCCCAGTGCTGGGCTCCCCTGTGGCATGCTGACAGGACTAACTCACGGAGGACGGAGCTGGTTGGTTGCATTCCTGTGGGTTAGGATCAAGGTCTCTCTTGCAAGGGACAGACATTCCCCACCCTGAAATCCTTGGAAAAAGTGAGGTCATCAGCAGGCAACAGGAACACAGGAGGCAGGCCTTAGGCAGGAAAGAGAATGTATGTGTCTTCAGACATGAAGTCTGGATGGGTCTTGGCACTACCACTTGGGAAAAGTAGCCCCTATCCTACCGAGGAGGGCAGGACGGGTTTAGGCAAGAAATGTTCCTATGTAGGAACCCCACACTAAAGAGCTTAAGACCAGTGAGCTTCTGTGTGAGATTCGAACGTCTGACAACCAGGAGCCTGCCTCCAGTGTGTTCTACCTGGCTGTTTCTGTTTGGGCAGCCTAGTGTTTTAAAAGGCAATGTAACTAGGCAGCTAAGTTATGCTTTAACACAACACAAAGTTTACACCTACTATCTATCTTAAACCTCCCCACAATTACCTTCGTTAACTTCCTGGATTCTATGGGCATTTGAGTTTGAAATCCCTACTCAGAGAGATATATTTTCCTTTGGCCATTTCCCTTCTTGTTACTTAGCACAGGCTTGCCTGAAAGTTCCAGGCCAGCTCAGCTACACATGCTAACTGCATAGTTAACAGGGCTTCCATAAGGCCACGCAAAAGGGAAAACCTGCCAAGGCTTAAAGCCCTAATTCAAAAAAGATGACCATTATTCCTTAGAGAGAGGACTATTCTGGAACCAAAGTCTAAAAGCATTATAGAGGAACATTAAATGATAAAGCAGACAATGGTCTCACTACCATTTTATCACAGATGCAGAGGCGACTCATACAGCTGTCTGTGATAGAGACCTTCAGTAAAAGCCAAGGATTTACCCATACAGCCCAGTTCGGTGAAGGCAAACCTAACGCAGGCACTTCCATTAGTCTGAGAGACAGTCCAGTCACCTGATTAAAGTCAGGTGATGTCAGCTCTCCTCAGATAACACAGCACCAACACTCTCTGAAGTGGTGATCTTTCAGGTGTCTGTCCTGCTCACCCGATCCCTGCCCTCTCAGACCTGTCTCTCGCCCATAGGATTTGGCCTCCGCAGCTACACTTGGCCAGTGAGACCTCCCTTCTGGTCACTGAGGACTGGGTCAGGGAGATAACCCATCATTCTGTCCCCTGGCGCTGTGAAAGAATGCAAATCAGCCTGGGGGTCCGGAGCAGGGACAAGTGATCAGCAGGTGGGTTTGGGGGAGCAGCTGTGCTACACTGCCCCCGAAGCCAGAGAGGATGCAGAAACCCAACCTGCAGAGAGAAGAGTCAGGCACACATGCAGCAAGGAGGAGAGATGGACAGGGAGAAACAAGAGAAACAGAACAGCAGAGCCTCCTCCTGAAAGAGCGGCTTCTGAGACCCATTTGCCCTCCTGTCCTCCAGCTCTGCAAGGCACACAAGGTCTTTATTCTCCATGGGATTTAAATAAGCTTAAAGTCTCTGTTCCTTGTGGCCAAAACAATACCAGCGAAAATGCACAGAAGCAGAGAGAACATTATTACTAATTCTTAAGCTTGCCCCATCTTGAGAACGCCAATAGATCTTGGCAGTGATAACAGGAAACTGTGTCTCCCCCTCTCTACTTCTCATCTGTCCTGCCCGAGAGAAAGTATTAGAGCTGTCAAAATGGCCATAAGTGCCAGCTTAAGCAGGCACTCCACCCCTAGGATAATAGGGGTCGCCTATCAAATTCAAGTCAGACCCCTAAACGATGGGACTCTCAGGGCTCCACTGGTGGGCTCTTCCCACACCCATCATGAGTGCTCAGAGCTTTAAATAGGATTTATATGCTGCCAACTCCTACATGTTTATCTCCAACCAGCCTTCTCCTCCAAACTCCAGATTCACATAGCCACCTGCCCATCCAACAGCTCCACTGGAATGTTTAATAGGTTATCTATTATAACTTATAATAACCCGTCCAGGGGTGCCTGGTGGTGGGTTAAAGCCTCTGCCTTCAGCCCAGGTCATGATCTCAGAGTCCTGGGATGGAGCCCCACA